ATAACGGCACTGCTATGCCAAATTCAAATTGTACAAAACGTAATTTAAGCTTTATAAACATAAAGCTTAGGCAATTTAAGCTTTATAAGCATAGCCCCAAACAGCTCCGTCATCTCACTCCTCTGATCCGACTTCATGACCTGAAAAAAACATGATAATAGTGGGAGCGTGAATACTAAAAACACTGTACTCCGCAGAAACTCATACTAAAGTAAACATTAATAATAATATCAATATCATGACTGCAGGTATATAAATAAACTGTAATCTCCAAACACGAGGTCTGTACTGAACTGGCCATGTGCACACTCTGATGGGCAATTAAGGCTACTGCGCCTCCACCAGAACTCTGGATGGGCAATTAAGGCTACTGCGCCTCCACCCAAAGTGGAATAACTGATATACATACCTTAAAAACATGATAGAGCCATTATAACCAATGTAATACCCAGTCTGAGTTCCCACCTGAACTGCTGGTTTGAAAATGTAAGTGCTGATCATCTGGATCCTGAACAAACTGAAAATAATATAAACAATTACTAAATACTATGCTCAGACTGATAAAATAACTGATTAATATGTTAAGATGCTCTACTGGACTTTAACATGGTATCTGGGCTTAACCGGTACAACCGAAACTGGATAAACTCGGAACTGAACTGACATAAATTTACTGAACTGGACTGGACTTGAAATTTAACTGAAAATGGGACTAAAATCATGAACCGGGACTTAATAAAACAAAATATGAAGAAACCGGTTTGAACTTCTTTAAATTACTCTGGCCGGACCTCCGGTCTGGTCGGGCCGGTCAGTCGGCAACTGGTTGGACTATCGGCACGGTCGCACGCACACACCAGGCATGGCCTAGGCGCTGCCGGGTGCTGCCGGGTGTTGCTGGCGTCGGCCCGTTCGTGGCTGGCATGGTTTGTGCACTGGCGGGTGCAGCTGGCACCGCACGTGCACTGGGGATGGCTATTGGCGTGCTGCTGTGCACTGCCAACAGCTACTGGGTGTGACTAAGCGCGACTAGCCACTGCCGTGCACGCGGGCTACGGCACTGGTACTGATTAGCACTGTCGGGCACTATTGTGCGCCACGGACAGGCGGCTGGCACGCAGGCTGCGCGTGCTGAGGTGACTGGGTGCTCGGCCATGCTGCTGGGCACTGGCCGAGGCCTGCTGGGCATGCTGGCGCATTGTCGGGCGCGCTGGCATGCACTGGGATTGGCCAGCGTGCGCGGGGCGCTACTGGCGGACGGTACTGACGTGCTGCGAGGCGGCTGGGCGCACTAGCGTGCGCTGCCGACTCTCGCGGCGCACCGCGGTGATGAAGACCGTGTGTCTCGATTGCCGACAAGCCGCTCCCGCGCCTTAAATCATTCGATAGGTGTTAGGAAGTCGCACACTTGCAGCCTTTCTAACGATTATAGTTGCATAAGAATTCAAGAAGAAAACTAGAGCAAAGAGTTTGAACAAAATTCGGTTTTTGTATTAAGAAGAATCAATGATATAATTAACAAGAGGAAAGGCCTTTATATAGGCATCAACTAGATCTAGTCCTAATATAACTATAACTCTAATAAAGCAATAAAATATTAGGTGTCCTAAACAAACTAGAAAATAAGGAAATAAATATCTAGAATATCTCTTGCTTGCGACTCAAGCCGCCATTGTGCGCGCCCGCGTTGCATAATTGCCCAAGGACTAGGGCTTCATCTTCCATTCCGGCGCACGCATCCAGCAGCTCGCCTAATCCTCGCGCGCCTAGACAAGTTCGCGCGTGCACCCCGTCGCCTGCGCGTTCAGCCCCGCGCTCGGCCCCGATAATATGGCGTGCGTCATCTTCCACGCGCGCTTGCCCATCCGCGTATCGCGCCTCTCCGGCACGACGACTTAGCCTCCTTCGCGCATGCCACGCGCGACTCGCTGCATTCTTGAGCCTTCTCGCCGTGTCCGCATCATTCCCGTCCCCTTCACGTGCTTCTTTGTCCTCAAGGAAGAAGTCGGGGAACATCTCGCGCATCTCGTCCCAACTCTGCCAAGTTGCTTCCTCGCTCGGTAAATCCTCCCATTCGACGAGCACTTCCCAAAAATATTTTCCAGCCTTTTTGACTTGCCGATACTCTACCGCATGGCTCAGCCGCACCATAACCTGCCCGTCCGGCGCGACCGCGGGTAGTCGATCTTTTGCCGCATGCGCTTCGCCGAGTCGTTGCTTGAGTTGTAAGACGTGTATGACCGGATGGATATGGGAATCGTCCGACAACTCAAGTCGATAAGCAACCTTCCCAACCTTGGCCAAAATTTTATAAGGCCCGTAATATCGAACTCCGAGTTTGGTCGCGGCCCTTTGCGCAGCCGTCCTTTGCCGAAACGGCCTCAACTTCAAGTATACCCAATCCCCGGGCTCAAACTCTACGTCGCGCCTCTTGCCATCATGGTACGCCTTCATCCTATTGATCGAGCCCTCCAACGTCCGCTTTAGCTCGCGCAACATCAAGTCACGCTCGACCAACTCTCGATCGACCTCATCGTTCACGGCGCTCCCCATCGAGTAACTCACGATCGTCGGCGGTTTGCGCCCGTACACCAACTCGAACGGCGTTGCCTTAGTCGAGCTATGGTAAGTGGTGTTATACCAATACTCGGCCCAAGATAAATAATTCTCCCATCACTTTAGAAATTGATGCACATAGCACCTAAGGTACTGCTCGAGCGTGCGATTGGTCACCTCTGTCTATCCGTCGGTTTGTGGATGATAAGCTGAGCTCATGCTTAGCTCGGTTCCCTGCAATTTAAAGAACTCCGACCAGAAACTACTCATAAATATCCGATCTCGGTCGGAAACAATTGACCGCGGCACCCCATGCAATTTCATCACATATTCGACAAATAATTTTGCTATAGACTTAGCCGTGTATGGATGAGTAAGTGGAACAAAATGTGCATACTTGGTAAGACGGTCGACTACCACCATGACTCCATTGAACCCATTCGAGAGTGGAAACCCCTCGATAAAATCCATGGTGATGTCCTCCCAAATACGTGTGGGGACCGGCAATGGTTGAAGTAGTCCGCCTGGTCGACGTGCGTCCGCCTTAGTGCGTTGGAACTCATCACATCGCCCAACGTAGTCGCGCACATCGCCCCTCAGTTCTGGCCAATAAAAAGTGCTCGCAATCCTCATCCATGTCCGGAACACCCCGGAATGTCCTCCAAACTTTGAGTCGTGGAAGTGCCGGATGATGTCCTCGCGCAACGATCCCGTCTCGGGCACGACGACTCGACCATGATAAAGGAGCAAGCCATCGTGCATGTCATGGTCCTCGTCCTCGTCGTGCCCTACGTTCAGCTTCTCGATCATGTCCCGGCAATGTGCATCCTCGTCTTGTACCTTCCGAAGCTCTGTCGAAACGGCCCATGTCGGCCCCGTCACGGCGTCGAGCTCGGCCACGTCCTTCCGTCGAGACAATGCGTCGGCCACGGTGTTCTAGCGACCGGGCCGATACACTATCTCGAAGTCGAACCCCATCAATTTGGATACGAACTTCTGCTGCTCGGGCGTCACGATCCTTTGCTCGAGCAAGTGCTTGAGCGGCTGCTGGTTCGTGACAATCCGAAAGCGTCGCCCAAGCAAGTACGGCCTCCATACGCGCACGGCCTCGACCACGGCTAATATCTCTTTTACGTATGCAGACAACCCTAAGCGCGCTGGCCCGAGAGCCTTGCTGAGATAAGCCAAGGGTCGTCCTTCCTGTACTAGAACCGCTCCGATTCCAATGTCTCTCGCATTCGAGTGAATCTCGAACAACACATCAAACCTCGGCATCGCGAGCACGGGTGTGGTCGTCATGGCCTTCTTTAGTTCCTCGAAAGCCTTCTCGCTGGCCTCCGTCCACTTGAATGCTCCCTTCTTCGTCATCTCCGTAAGTGGCTTTGCGATGGTCCCATAGTCCTTCACGAATTTTTGATAATAGCCCGTGAGACCAAGGAACCCTCGCAACTGCGTCAAGCTCGTGGGTTTCGGCCACCCCACCATCGCCTCGATTTTCCTTAGATCCATCTTAACGCCATCATGAGAAATAAAGTGTCCGAGGTACTCGACCACTTCTTGAGAAAACGAGCACTTGGACGGTTTGATGTAGAATGAGTTAGCCTCCAAAATCCCCAAGACAATTCGCAAGTGCTCGAGATGATCTGCCCATGTTTTCGAGTACACCAAAATGTCATCAAAGAATACTAACACAAACTTACGAAGGTACTCCTTGAAGATTGAATTCATCGCAAACTGAAATGTCGATGGCGCATTGCACAAACCAAAAGGCATCACGAGATATTCGTAGTGCCCTTGGTGCGTGCGAAAAGCCGTCTTGGGCACGTCCTCCTTGGCCAGCCTGATCTGATGGTAACCCGCGCGTAGGTCGAGCTTGGAGAAGTATCGCGCGCCACCCAACTCGTCCAGCATGTCGTCGACACTTGGAATGGGAAAACGATCCTTCACGGTAGCTGCATTGAGAGCGCGGTAGTCCGTGCAAAACCTCCAAGTTCTGTCCTTCTTCTTTGCGAGCAACACCGGTGACGAGAATGGGCTCGAGCTATGCTGGATGAGCCCGGACTCGAGCATCTCGCCCACCTGTCGTTCGATCTCCGTCTTTTGGAAGTGTGCGTATCGATACGGATGCACGTGCACTGCTCGACCTTCCTCGACCAAAGGTATGCGGTGGTCGAACTCTCGGTGTGGCGGCAGTCCCTTGGGATCGTCGAGGACCTGGTCGAACTCCTCGAGCAAGTCACGCACCTCGCGCTGCCTCTCCCCGACCACCTGGTCGAACTCCTCGAGCACCTCCACATCCTTACCTGTCTGCTCGACCACGACAGCGTACAACTGTCCACCACCTCGCCACACCTTCTCGATGTTTTTTAGACCAACCTCCTTGGTTGCTCCCTCACTAGCCTTCAAGGTAACGAGCTGATCACCGGCCCCGAACCTCATCACACCTTCCGGTAATTAGTCGTCACATCTCCTAGTCCCTCGAGCCACTGCACCCCAAGCACCACATCCGGTCCCACCAAAGGTAAGGCGAACAAATCCGCCTTCACCGTCACTCCTTGAAACTTGATCGGCACGCCTCGGTACACCTTCGAGCACCGCAGTCTCTCTCCATTAGCCACTCGCACCTCGAACGGCTCGACCATGGACGTGGGTAGTTTAAGCTTGTGAGATAGCGTCGCATTAATGAAGTTGTGCGACGACCCATTGTCCACGAGCACAGTCACTCGCTGATCCTTTACCCACGCAGGCAAACGCATCGTCCTCAACCCCTTGGTGCCCGCCATGGCGTGTACAGAGATCTCGGCCTCTTCATCGAGCACCTCGACCTCCACCTCTCGTTCTTCTTCGATCACCGGCTCCTCGTCATCCGAGTCCACAAACTCGATCAAGTAATTCTGCTTGCATCGATGTCCCGGCGTGTACTTTTCCTCGCACCGGAAACACAGCCCTTTCTCTCGTCTCCGCGCCATATCCTCCTCCGTCAACCTCTTCACCTCGGTTGCTGGGGGTCTAAATGTGCCCGACGGCCTCGCGTTCGCACTAGGTGCGCCCACGGTCGCCGGCACACGCCGCGGCTCCGGGACACGAAAATCTGCCTGTCCCCTTCGAGTCGCGGCCAAGTGATCCTCCCGTCTCATAGCAACTTCCATGGCCTTATGCATGGTCTCCGGCCTCTCCAATCGCACTTCAGCCGCGAGATCATACCTAAGCCCTCCAACAAACGCGCCAACAAGCGCGCTTTCCGGCCACCCGCGAACCCGGCACGCCAACCTCTCGAACTCTTTTAGGTAGTCACGTACACTCCCTGTCTGCCGGATCCGAGTAAGCGCCTCGTCGTGGTTATGATAGTCTGAGTTCCCGAAACGCGTAAGGAGCTCTCGTTCAAAATCTTCCCAACAGATTGGTTGTTGCCGCCCGCGATACACGCGCGTGAGCCACTGCCACCACACGTTGGCCTCACCACCTAAATAGTACGCGGCATAACGAACCCAGTCACGTTGCGGCATCTCATTTAAATCGAAGAATTGCACCGCCCTGTTCAGCCAAGCGTCGGGGTTGGTTCCCGTGAACGTCGAGAGCGCGATCCTTGGCTTCTCGATGCGAGCTCGCTCATGAACGCTCGACGCCTGCGACCGCTGCTCGTACTCTTCCTCCTCGTCGGGGTTGTGCTCAGCCAGCTGCTGCTCCTGTTGCCTTAGACGCTCGCGTGCGTTCACCCGTGGTGGCTCCTGCTGCTGCTGTCGCTGGAACCCACGCAACACCTCCTCCAGGTGCTGCTCGAGGCGAGCCACGGCAGCGTTGGTGCTGACCTAACCTTCGTCGAGCGATCCAAACCGATCCTCCATGCTCTCGCTCATGGCCTTGAATTGGCCTTCCAATCCTTCAACCTTTTCTTTCAACTCACGATTGGCCATATCTTTTCTGGCTTGCCTACGTTCTCGACTTCCCGGACTAATTTTGAAATTTTTTTTTTTTTGGCTTTTGACGATTTTTTTTTTTTTTTGAACAAACAAAAATTACGAAAGGAAAATTAAAAGAGAATGGGAAAGGAAATACACACGATCGACCCTCTCAATGAAAGCACCAATGATGAAGACCGTGTGTCTCGATTGCCGACAAGCCGCTCCCGCGCTTTAAATCGTTCGATAGGTGTTAGGAAGTCACACACTCGCAGCCTTTCAAACGATTATAGTTGCAAAAGAATTCAAGAAGAAAACTAGAGCAAAGAGTTTGAACAATGTTCGGTTTTTGTATTAAGAAGAATCAATGATATAATTAACAAAAGGAAAGGCCTTTATATAGGCATCAACTAGATCTAGTCCTAATATAACTATAACTCTAATAAAGCAATAAAATATTAGGTGTCCTAAACAAACTAGAAAATAAGGAAATAAATATCTAGAATATCTCTTGCTTGCGACTCAAGCCGCCATTGTGTGCGCCCGCGTTGCCTAATTGCCCAAGGACTAGGGCTTCATCTTCCATTCCCGCGCACGCGTCCAGCAACTCGCCTAATCCTCGCGCGCCTAGGCAAGTTCGCGCGTGCACCCCGTCGCCTGCGCGTTCAGCCCCGCGCTCGGCCCCGATAATATCGAGCGCGTCATCTTCCGCGCGCGCTTGCCCATCCGCGTATCGCGCCTCTTCGGCACGACGACTTAGCCCCCTTCGCGCATGCCACGCGCGACTCGCTGCATTCTTGAGCCTTCTCGCCGTAACCGCATCACGCGGGCACTGGTTGCGTGCTGCCGTGCGTGACTGGAGTGCACTGGGTACGCCCACGCACATGACGACGACAATTCGTGACTGACTGCGGGGCACTGGCTACGCGCACGCACTGCTAGGTGTGCGGACGCTGCCAGTGTGCCCGCTGGGATTGCCGTGCGCACCGTGCGCACGTTGTGTGCGGACAGGTGCTACGGTCGGCCTTCCGCCGGCCGTCCGGTGACTTTCTCCGGCAACTCATGAATGACTGAACATAAATTGACTTAAAATGACTAACCATACATAACTTTCTCGGGACTTGCCGATTAAACATGAAAATCATTCGGAGAGGGCAAACCACGACCCGTGGGCATGCACTACGTGTGCTGCCGACTTCCTTAGGCCAAAACATGGACAAAACCACAACTTGTCTTGACCTATCTTTCTAAACTGAACTTATAAGGACATAACTTGATAAAATAAACATGAATTGCATGGAAAATGCCGGATGAAATTGAACATCACTCGGTCATGACCTACATGGCCAAAACCGAACCCTTTATGACATTTTCTTGCATTTCTTGACATGAACTCATTAAACTGAATTTAGCATGATATCACTAACATGAAAGGAGTCTGAATATGAGGTTACCTCTTCAAGGGTTCGGAGAATTTCACAAGAACGGGCATGATTCTCCTTTCTGTGTAGGCATGCGTATGCGTTGCTTAATACATAAATTCAGGACTAATTTAGACTGATTATTTGCTGAGCTTTGTAGCTTAAATAATGAGCTACTAATCCACCCCAAGGTCTGATATATAAACACGGTAAAACTTGAAGGAATTGAAGGGAAACTCTCGGCCAAATGGAACAAAGCCACTTGCCGAGCATCTAAGGTGCAAGAGTAGCACTTGGGGTGCCTAGTCATCCTTCCGAAGGCTTAGTCATCTCCCAACTCACCTTAATTCACCATGTGTCCTTGCTTGGATGATGATGAACGTGAAGATTGGGAAAGTTTGAATTCTCGGCGATTAGTTCGGCTAAACACGGCTTAAACGTGCTAAGGACGTGCTTATGCGCACTAACGGCCGTACTAAGCATACTCAATGTTAAGCTAAACATGATTATCCCTAAACATGATGAAGTTAATTAAGCTTAATGGCAATTGCGACGGTGTACCAAATGTGAACGCGTCGCTGTGTAGGAATGACGACGTTCATATATGGTAACCTTAATCGAACGTACTCATTTTCGGTTATAACTTGACCTCAGAACTTAATTCGAATATTCTTGACTTAGACGATTAATCCAAAAATTAATATTTTGAATAATTCGTCAACTTGGCTTATTAATTTCGAACTCATTAACTAATTAAATGAATCGGAATTAAATCTGAAAACTTGTCGACTAATAGTCGAACTTGGAGTTTAACTAACTAATTAACTTAAACTTGAACATGAACATGACTATTTATTAACAAAGGCTAGCTTTAAAATTAAAAGCTAGTATTTTCCATTATTAATAAAACTCGGGGTATAACATCCACACTATTCGATCTTGGGAAGACGAGCCATTTCCGAGACATTTCCGAGCCGTCCGAACCATATCCGAGCCACGCGAGCTGTTTCCAAGCATATATATTAGTTACGCGGCAATATCGATTTGAGCATTCCAAGATGAGGAGAAAAATAATTGGGAAGCATGGGTCAAAGTTTCAAGTCAAACGGATATGTGTGCGAGAAGTTAGGGCGAATCGAGCATCAACGGGCCATGACCGGGACTAGACGCGTGCACGCCCGCACGCCCGCGAGAGGAGCCGCAGGCTCGAGAGTGTTGCATCCCCCAGCGCGCGCCTACCGAGAAGGTCGCGAGCTCAAGAGTGTCCCAGCACCTGCAGCGCGTGCCCGCGGAGAAGGCCGCGATCTCGAGAGTTTCCCAGCACCTGCAGCGCGTGCCCGCGGAGAAGTCCGCGAGCTCGAGAGTGCCCAGCTCTACACACTCGCGACCCCGCGCCAATAGCCGCAACCTCGAGAGTCCCCCGCGCCCATGCACCTGTGCCCCGCGCGCCTGTAAATCCTCCCGCGAGCTCGGGAGTGTCCTATTAAATGTGCATGTTTTTAGTGTGTGTTTGTGGTGTAGCTATTTAAAGACATTATGCTTTGTATTTTTAGGAACAACTCTCATTTCCCAACTTTTAAGTTGTGAAATCCTCTCTATTTCCTTTTTCTTTTTATTTTTATTTTGGTTTGGAGCTTTATGAATCAAGTTTTCCGGCGAACTTCCGGCGACATTATTTTGAGCAAAGTTTCAAGCTTTTGATTCCATTTCTTCTCCGGAGTGCATGTTGGAGTGGGTAACTTAGTTTTAAGCCCCATTACCTAGTATATCTTTCTTTCTTTGGTAAAATTGATGTTGTTCTTGAGATTTTGGAAGAAAAGATTGTTGCTTTGGATCATGAATGTTTGACTAAGTGTGATAGGAGTTGAATTCTTTCTCGATTCATGCTAGAGTTTGATTTGACTTTCTAGGGTTTTTAGCGAACATGGCAATGGTTGGATTTTTGCGTGCTTTTGATCATGATGACTCCGATGAACCAATCTCTCTCTTTCCCCCTTGATTTCTCTTGCTTGCTCTCTATCTCCCTCTCTTCTTTTCTCCCTCATGCGCTCATATTTTACTTGCTTTCTCATGCTTTCAACTAGTAGTTTAGTTTAGTTTAAATTCAACCCAAACCAAGGAATTAGCATGTCTAGGATGTTTTCGTTTGAGTGACTTTGGCGACTAGGTAGTAACCGAAGCTCCGAATAGCCTTCCTTTGAGAACGACCCGAAGCCGGGTAACTCGGTTACCAATACCCAAAAATTTACTCAACACGCCTCGAAGGTGCTCTCCTCGAGGACGACCGCAAAAAGAGTTGTGCCACACTCCTGGAGGTTGGTGACAAACTTGCCTGATGGCTTGCCCAGGTACCACTTCCGTCTCATCTTTGCTTCAATTTTCTCCAACCTCTTCTTCTGATGCTATACATGTTTTGAACCATCTCACCCTTTTTAATTATAGGGCTTAGTCGAGTTTTTGCCTCTGGCTAAAGAGGCGCGAGACAGCTCGGGGAAGTCCATAAAGGGCCTCGAGGGCACTATCGGCTACATGCAAGATAAAAACTCGACCCTCCTGAACCACAACGCTAAGCTCCGCGAGACGCATACCGAGCAGAAGACTGAGCTTGAAGTCAAGCTTAAATCCCTTGACGGAGAACTCACAAAGAAGAATGAGGCTCTCGCGGAGAGAGAAGCCGCTCTCGTGATAAAGGAGGTTGCGGTGGCCGAAAAAGAAATCGCGCTAAAGGAGAAGGAGACTGCGCTCGAGCAAGAGCGGATTGCTCGAACCCAAGCAGAGGCGGCTCGAGCGCAGTCGGAGGCTGCTTGAGTGCAGTCGGAGGCTACTCGAGCACAAGCGGAGGCTGCTCGGGTGCAGGCAGAGGCTGCTCGAGCTGAGCTGGAGGCTACCTTAGCCAAAGAGAGGACTGCCCATGCTAGCCAATGCAAATGCTACGCTGATGCTGCAGCTCTTCGAGCTCGACAAATGATGTGGGGCACAAAAACTGGGCAGCTTTTCCTCCGCGAGTTCCGTGAACAAGTGGTGGCCGATTATATGCGGTCATCACAATTTTTGAAAGAGGTGCAAGACTTCGGGGTGGACTGTTTTCAGTTCGCCCTTCAGAAAGCCGGCGAGCAGATCGCCGAGGATGACTTTGAGTAGCTCGACCCTGGGGCTATCTGGGAGGCCCTTGCCAAGGTCCCTTCTAGCTTCTAGGGTGATCTTAACTTACCACCCGAGCACGAGTGGTGGTCAGGGCTACTTGAAAGGACTCTAGCTCGATCCGACATCTTGAAGAAAACTTATGCTCTGTCCGATGGTCTAACTCATCCAGCCTCGATGTTGGCCGTGCTAACTGATTCTATTCGCCAACGTCCACTTAACTAAGCTTGCGACTCGATCTCCGGGACCAGTCATCCGCCCGAGCCAAATGCTAATCAGAGCAACGCAGACTCGACCGCAACTCCTCCTCCTTAGATTTAGCTTTGTATTTTCCATTTTATCTGTTTTGAATCTGAGTTATGTACTCCCAACAATATTTCATGCTCTATTGGAATATGAATGTTTTGCTTAATTCGTCTTTGTTGTCGATGATCTTTTGAATGAGCTGATTTGATATTCTTGTATGTCTCTTTGACGATTTTTCTCGTTAATTATGCCGGTGTGTTTGCTATGTATTTGATTGATTATCCAGATTTTTGCTATAATATGCATCACACATACATTGCACCCTTCACACAAGGTTTTGAACACATGTCCACCCTCGGAGATGGTCGAAACATGTGACCATCCAGCCTCACGGCCTTAGACATGATGGGTTTTAGATTTTTGAACACATACCCACCTTTAGAGGTGGTCGAAACAAGCGACCATCCAGCCTCACGGCCTTAGATATGATAGGTTTTTAATTTTTGAACACATGCCCACCTTCAGAGGTGGTCGAAACATGCGACCATCCAGCCCCACGGCCTTAGACATGATGGGTTTTTGATTTTTGAACACATGCCCACCTTTAGAGGTGGCCGAAACATGCGACCATCCAGCCTCACGGCCTTAGACATGATGGGTTTTTGATTTTTGAACACACGCCCACTTTCAGAGGTGGTCGAAACATGCGTCCATCCAGCCCCACGGCCTTAGACATAATGGATTTTTGATTTTTGAACACATGCCCACCTTCAGAGGTGGTCGAAACATGCGACCATCCAGCCTCACGGCCTTAGACATGATGGGTTTTTTTGCGCCGCTTCGTCTCTCTTTACCTCTCTATCCTAGCGCTCGTTCACTGGGTGCTCGTTCGTCGGGTTTTGAGATCCCGCTAATCTCGATTCTTTGATCTTCGTATCTTCTCACTAGGCTCCCAGGTGTTAGTCATGGGGAATCCGTCTTCACACTTGCCCATCCGCGAGAAATGTTCTAAACAGGAGGCCACCCAGCCCGAGGGCGTGAGTAATCGACAAACCTGCCCACCCCAAGGGATGTTGTAAACAAGCGACCACCCATCCCGAGGGCCTTAGTCATGGTGGGTTTTGTTCTTCACACTTGCCCACCCGCGAGGAATGTTCTAAACAGGAGGCCACCCAGCCCGAGGGCGTGAGTAATCGACCAACCTGCCCACCCCAAGGGATGTTCTAAGCAAGCGACTACCCAGCCCGAGGGCCTTAGTCATGGTGGGTTTTTGTCTTCACACTTGCCCACTCGCGAGGAATGGTCTAAACAGGAGGCCACCCAGCCCGAGGGCGTGAGTATTCGACCAACCTGCCCACCCCAAGGGATGTTCTAAACAAGCGACCACCCAGCTCGAGGGCCTTAGTTATTGTGGGTTTTGGTCTTCACACTTGTCCACCCGCGAGGAATGTTCTAAATAGGAGGCCACCCAGCCCGAGGGCGTGAGTATTCGACCAACCTGCCCACCCCAAGGGATGTTCTAAAC